ATAACCAAGATGTTATAATTGCAATATAATCAAAAGAGTAAGGCAAACAAGGATCACAAAAGAGAATAAGTAGAAGAGCTTACCCTTGGGTTGAGCTCACTAGAAGATATCAAAGAGGAGGATCTCCAGAAGAGATCCTTCCCCTCTGGTAGCCAGCTCTTAAATAGGTCCAGGAGGGGTTGAGCCTGGCTCCACCCCTTCTGGTAGCACAGGTGAATTGCCTTCACCTGTGCTCCTCTGGCTGACTCATGGCTCACCTCAGGTGATCAATCAGAGGTTCAGGCCGTGACTCAGCAGTTCCCATACACATGATTTATATATAACTTTGTCAGGAAAGAAAAAGCTTTTAACTGTGCAAAAAAAAAAAACCCAAAAACCAACAACAACAAACTTGAGCAGTAAAGCATGTCTTTAGCCTGAATAGCTGGAATTCCTTAAGTGTGTATTTTAACACTTGGATGTTTTCAGGGGCAAGGCTACTTCCCTTTAGGAGAGGGCAGGCTGACTTACGTGTCAGCACTAAACTACTTCAGTTTTTTCAGAAGAGGCACAGATATTGGAATGGATGTGATGGTGCCTCGTCCCCTAAGAGCTTACCTCCTGAGAAACTTCTTTGTGGTGCCTTAACTAAAGAACTTGAGAAATAGAGCATGACACGGAAGTGGTTCTAGCACAGAACTCAGTCACAGTTTTGATATTTATCAGCTTCCTTCATCACCACTTTTGCTTCTTTCTTGGTTAATATATTATATTGTGTGTTTACACTGCAGAGTGAACAGTACCAAGATGTCCCTCGCCCAGAAGAAAGACCGTGTTGCTCAGAAGAAGGCTAGCTTCCTCAGGGCCCAGGAGCGTGCAGCTGACAGTTAAGACAACTTCCACAATTTTCTATGAAGCTTTGGAAAAAGTGGCAATAAATTTATTGACTAAGCAACTGTGTAAGACTGGCTTATTAATACAACTTAAAGATCAGAATATTTTTTATAATCCACATACTATGGAGCCTTAAAGTTTTTTTTCAATACAAACTCATTCAATGAAGGTAAGTGGTAAAGACAGAGCTACCACACTAGAATTATTTCCATGGCAAGGGGAAATAATTTTGTTTAATTTATATTGTGACTAGATGGAATTTGTTCCTTCTAACTAGAGGATGACTTAAATTAAAAATAAATAACCTTTACAGGCACTTGACAATTCTGTACAATTTCAGTGTACATAATGCTATGAGAGATGTATATGTATCTTAAGGAAGACAAACCTCCATTGTAGATAGCCTTAAGCTTTTAGGAACATGAATAGTAGTGCTTCCCAGACTGAAAATGAGTATAGCTGATAGCAGCACACATTGACATTGAACATTCCTCCACAAAGTGAAATAAGTACTTAAAGGTTCTGGCTGCTATTAAAGCAGGTACTATCTTAAGATTAAATATTTTCTATTATTTAGGGATTAGACAAGAGAACTTTCTCTGAAGTTGAATATGTTCGCTTAATTGTAGAGGTTGTAGCTTGCCTTATTCTACAGCTGTCTGTGAAACTGAGATACTGAAATTGCTTGCATGCTTTCACCAAGTAGGATACACTGATGAACTCTTTGCTTTACAATACTGATGACAGGAAGTCTAGCTATTGGAAAAAAAATAGGAAGCCTGTTATTAATTGGAAACAAAAGTATACATATATATTTTTTCAATTAAAGCTCCAGCTTGGTGCAACAGCAATAAAAATAGAGGTTCTGTATAGTAAACTGCACTATTACATGTTTTCTAGTTTTTCCAAGAAGCTGTTCAAAATGCCCACTGGTACTTTGGGTTCAGTAATATTTTTTTGCCCCAAACCTTGTAGCAATTAGTCGTGTTTCCAGCAAGAATATCCTGCTTTAGATTTCAGTGCATTGCTAGTTATAAAAACTAAATTAGATAATAGTAAACAGTAAGTAATTTTTCAACTAAAAAGCTGATTACGAACAGCACACACTCAGCCCAAGCCACACATTATTACACATGGTGTGGAGAAATTCCCTGATGTTAGTCAAGGAACGCATTTAGTGTAGAACCTTCAAGCAACTAAACCACTTTTAAAATAGTGAAATAAAGCTCATTTTTACTATGCTGTAACTGATTAAAGAGGTCAGCTATGTGAAGGGATAAGGACAACTGCCAGTAAAATCACTAAGGTTTTTAACTGCTTCATACCTAAAACAGTAAATTAAACGTATGCAGCGAGCACAGCATTAAGGTGTCTTATGCATCTCTCTCTACAAGCTGAAAATCTGTAGAACAGTAGGGTTGATGATTGAAGGTGGTGCAGTGGTCATGCCCTGTACAGTGCCTGGATCAGTGTTTAAGACTTGAGAGTTTCAACTCCGATATTACCGGAAAAAAAACAAACAGCAGAACACAAACATACTACAAAGTACCATTATTCCACCTCGTCCCTAGCTGTTACTAGTCACAGGGTTCCCATTTAAGCAATATTCTGGGGTCCTAGGCAATCCACCTTGTCTGGCAGTTATGATCTAGTTCTGACTTGCATAATTTCTGCAATAATTCAGGATGATTTCAGTACAAGCATATAGCTACATTTCTGTGGGCAGTAATAAGACTTCATCCACAACTGTTACTTCTTTCACTTGTCATAAACCAGCGTCCTACTGTGGAGGGTTTTTTGGTGTTGCTTTTAAAACTTAGGATGATTCTGCTGTCAGTACTTAAAAATAGTTTAGCAGCAATGTGTTTCTGAAAATGTAAAATACAAATATGTTCTAAGTAGTAACATTCTAAAAATCCTGGCTCCTAACCTGGTGTACTGTATCAGGACTATTCAAGTGTTGAACTAAAACATTCAAGATGAAAGTATGAGGTAACAAGGTGTAAACAGAATTCAATTTAAATCTCATATTACAACCTATCATTTCCAGAATAAAATTTTAATTTTTTCCACAGTTTAAAAATTATTGATGTGCAAATTCTGCCATGCCAAGGTATTAGTAAACTTCAATCTCAGTTCATTTTATTCATAACAGCAACTTGGACTCAGCCACCATATTTGCAATAGTGGTGGTTCCTCATAAAAATCTTTTGCAGGTATTTCACAAGTGAGCAACAATTTTCACAGAATTTTAAGATGTTGTATTACTTGATGTGATGGCATCCTGTTCAAGCTCCAACAAAGTGCACAGAACAGTCAAGCATGCAGGATTGTTTTTGTGTCCCAGCAGTGCACTGGAACACCATGAGTGCTATTGGCTTCTGCCAGATCGCTTGGTGGTGAGTTCATCCTTTCAGAAGCCCTGTAACAAGGAACTGACTGAAGGGAAGAGCTGAAGAGCCATTCATGAAATCTGAGAACACGTTTTTACAAAATGCTGCAGATCATTTTTATCAAACATGGTAGGCCACCCCGAGTGGCGGACGGTATCTTCTGCTGGTGGAGAAACTAAGAATCAGTTGTGTGGGAAATTTTCTTCCATAGTAATGTTTTTAAGTTATTCAGTATTAAAGAATGTTCCATTTCCATCTGGTTTGCTGAGACTTTAAGGGCAATACACAAATACAGTTGTTTTTCTAGTTCTTCGTGGATATCTGAAGGTGCACCACGAAGCAGATAGTCTTTAAGTAGCTGACACACTTTTGCCAAGTTTGGCTGAATAACCTCTGTGGTACACCGCATTGTACTTTGGTCACATAGAGTCCTACAGTCTGTACCATAAACACAGTCCATATCTGATTCACACGGGCGATCTTTAATCATTTCCTTTAAATTCATTTCTGGCACAATTTTTCTCATGTCCATCATTTTCAAATCATATTTATCATTATATCCCAAGTTTTTGGCACTTGTATCACACATAAGAAAGTTACCATAAGGTCCATGAAAAATATCTTCCACAAATTCTAAAAGTCCAATAGCTATTTTTGCCTTCCTTGGCCATGATGGAGTAAACCACTGGTCCATGCTTCTCCTGAATCCAGAAGGAATTAGAAGTTCTATGATCCATGGAAGGCTGATTCCATAGAGAGAGGTATATTCAACTCTTTCGATCACATAGAGATCCCCACAAAAACCCATCAGCTTGGGAGTATGCTCTTTATCCTGCAACATCACCATTAACATAAACTCATCAAGCTGCAGAAGTGCCCATGCAGACTTTGCCTCAGGCAAAGAAACTCTACCATCTTTGTTTCCATCAGCAAAAGATAGAATGATGTTAACCAGTTCTGAAAGATTTCCTTGTTCACCCAACTTCGCCTAGAAACAACAAACAAAAAAAGGTTATATATGATTTCATTAACTACTGCCAATCCACCTGTAGTTCTCCATCTTTTTGTTGTTTTAGTATTAGAGAGTATATCATGTTCTAGTTCTTATTGCTTAGAGATGTCTGATGAACTTCCTTTCTGTTCAGTTTTCCAAGGCATCTGGTGTATGATCTGAAAGTAACAGCACTCTTTGCATTTCAGCATGCAAGGACTAGAATTCAAAAGGCAGTCTTTTTCTAAAGGCCGGTCTAACAAAGAACAGAGCAGCTCATTAAATATTTTCTTACAGTAAGTATGTAGAATATAGACCAAATTTGGTTTTCAGCTGATTAAGCCTCTCAGTTGTAGAGAAATAACACTATCCACTACACTTCATACAGAGTACCATGCTATTTGGCACGAATTCAGACTAAATGTACTGAAATACTTTATTCTGCTATTTGGTACAGCCATTTCCATTGTAACAATATAAAGAAAAAAGCCATTGTTGGAATCAGAAGCATTGTAATTTCAACTATTACCAATGCATGCAGAAAAGTCACACAAACATTTCCTCATTTCTCCAATCTAAAAATCTGTTGCACACCCAATCTTAGAGACAAAGCCACTGTAATGCATAAACAATTGTTAAAAGCCTTTCAGTCAGAATAGAATAGCTAGGCATATACTTACTTTAAAGAAACCGTAAACCATTTCCTTGAATTTCTCTACAGTGGTTCCTCTTGTTGGTTTATCAAATAGGATTATTTCTTTCCTTGGTTCTGGATCAGTACCAAAATCAAGCTGAGCAGCTTCTTCCATCTGGCATTTTATAACCCCTTGCAGATTTCCCCAAATTCCTAAATACATCTATGCAAGAAAATAGGGGAAAAAGATAAAATCATTGCACAAGTCCTTCACCTAAGTATCATCCAAACTTCTACCACTCCCTGTGGTCGAGCAGCAGCACAGATCAGAAAACCAAGTCCTGCTTACAGACAGCAAATTCAACAATGGCAGCTTCACATACATTATGCAGGGACTTAGGAATGCTGCCCTATCAAAATATGAAGGCAGCTTGAGAAACAGTATACTGGCATTACTATACTCTTTGCTCGGGCTAAGAGGCTGCTGACTTTGAGAAGCAGGATAGTGCAAAGATGGTATGCTGTACAGAAGTATAGGTATTCTGTCCAAATGTGCAAGGATCTGATCATCTCCTTGGAAACTGGATTCTGTAACTATGAAATTAAAAAGTCTTGATGGCAATTATAGATTTACTGCTAGTTTAGTATATAGGTCCACAAGGATCCAGTCAGTGGAATATTTCTTTGTTTACAGCTAGACAAAAACGATCCATATAACACCAATCGTCAAATATTTACCTATCTGAATACATTCATGAAACATATTCAGAGAAAGAGAGCGACTAACAATAACATATCTGTGCTATACTTGGGCTTTGATGTGAAACTGCAGTTAGGTAGCTGCAGCAACTTACACAGAGGCTATTGCCATGGCTGCTGGTTCTTGCTCCTGAGTCTGTCTTGATATCCTCACATCTCTTTCTACAACTGCATTATTCACCTCATGAGAAAAGTTACTACTGCTTAATGCCCTACAAGCAAAAGAAAGCCTGCAACTCTTCTAATCACATCTGCTGCCTTATAGCCAGCTCATCCAAATCCTAGGGAGGTAGGCCAATGTAGCTATCACCAGCCTCAAACACTCTCAGACTGCAGCACAGCAGTTACCATCCATAAAGCACATGTTGAAGTCCAAAGAGCGTACCACGAGCAGAACAGCATTGCTTTCCACTGTGATAGAGCTTCTCTATTTAAGTGTATAATGACAGACAACCTGCAGAAGGGAAATGGTACATTACAACCTCTAGCCTCTCAGCCAAGAAGTCTGTTTCTCATCGAAGCCAAGAGAGAAAAGCTGGTGTAACACGTGCATACAGGACATTTCAGTAGGAACTGATAAAGCTAGGATGGATGATTAAAGCCTTACCTGGTTACTGGGCTTTGTTGACAAACATTTTCCAAAATACAATGTCTCTTTTCCACAAAGACTACTACATGCTGATCCATCAATAACTCCCGTCTTATATCTATCACACTGAAACAAACAAAAATATTCAACAAATCACTCAAGTAAGCAATAACCACCTCTCTCCCAACATCTCACTCCTGAAATAAAAAGAAGTGGAGGGAGGTCAAAGAAAATTTCAATAACTGTATTAAAACTGTGTTAACTGGTGTTATCTGTAATTGAAGGTATGATCTTATTTCAGCATTACAGAATAGCAGCATCTGATGAATTTATGCATGGCACTGACCAAAAGAGCTGTGGAACTAGTCAAGGCAAATACTTAAGAAGCAAACTGTGCTAAACATACTTACTATTATTTTCCTACAGTCATGTCCTCTGCATAGTTCTGTGTAGGTAGAATACTGGACATACATGACCCAGCTGCCAATAAACACCACTAACCAAGAGATGAAGAGATACTTCATCCGCATATATGAGAAACGTACCTAGAGGACACAAAGAAAAAATATTTTGTTCATTCAGCAGTGGTAAGAACAGTAAAAGCAAATTAGTTTGACTTTCACAGTGATTAAAATAAGTAGAATGCCAGGGGAGGTCGGTTCGACTTATTTAGGTGGAAGACAAGACCAGCACCATTTCCACTTGGAAGAGGTAAACAGCTAAAAGGCAGCTCCACAACAGCCAGAGGTGATGCCAGCCCATGCAGTTGCAGTCCTGCCCGCCCCTTTCCTGCACAGTGGCTGTGCATTGCTGTTCCTCCACACACATCCACTTAACTGTAACCTAGAACTGCCTAGTTAAAAAAAGATTCACCTAACTACGTTTTTTCCTGGGGATTCATCTTGGCCAGAAAGTTCCTTCAACCAGTTTTTCTTTGAAGGTACATTATTGGGAGTGTTGTAAGAGAGGAACAATTTAAGCTGTTTTTACCAGAGCCATGAAGACCCTTGGAGTAACACATAATTTCCTCTGAAGTATGTTATCCACAACATGGATATGAAGACCTGAACTGGATGAAGTACAAAAGGAGACCAACAATAATGCTGCGTGGTTTACAGCACATTTAGAAACAATTTAGAAAACCTATGAGAAAACAGGCTGGTGAGGACAGAACAGCCAAGAAAAAAAAAAAATACTGGAGGCAAGGGGTTGGGGAGAGTCAAAAAGAAATACCACGCTCCCTCTGAAAGAACACTACTGAAGGGACAGAACTGGAAGATTTTAACCTAATTTGCTAGCCTTGCAATACCACATCTACAAGTTTTCAACATTAGGAATCACAAACTTTGCAAACCACACTACTTGAACAGACTGATGAGGAGCAGTAAGAGTCACCTGAGATGTGAACCAGCAATAACAAGAATGGATACTTTACCAATGGATTCAGGAATAATTTTCTCCATACATAAGAGAACGATGATACCTGCATTCATGCTCAGCTGAAGCTCAATCTCTCTTGTACTCCAGTCCATTTTCCATATTATTCACCTGTAATTTTCATCTAATAATTTTTTTCTCTTCAACATCAATCTCAAGCTGCTTGCCCTGACAATCCTCTCAAGCCACACATCATCTGCTGTTCTTTCTTCCAGCCATTTGCTGTCTATTTCTACACCATCCAACTCTACAGTATCAGCCTCAGGTCCCAACACTACTCAGCACCTAGTCTGCTTCTTCAGTCTTCCCAGCACAACTTGCCTACTGAAGAATCCTTGTCCTGAGCTACTGCCCATCTACAGAATTTGCTCATTGCCCTCAGAATCCCTCTTTCACAGTGCTGAGACAGCATAGCAAAGTCTTCAGGGGCGTCTCGCTCCCTGTTCTCACCTCAGAACAAATTAAGGTGTAAGCAGGGCAGATGGATTCTCCACATAGTTTAATTTTTACTGTCAGGCATGTTATTTTGATGCACAAAATAAACCAAAACAACAACAAAGATCGATCTTTCCCCAGCAAATCTGGGCAGGAAGCCCAGCTCGCGAGCTCTGAGGCAATCCTCCAGCAGAGGTCTCTTGAAACACAGGTTTGAAGCAAGAGGTGAATGGAACCAGCAGAGCCAAAGCATTCAAGGCACAGCATGGATTGCTGCCTCTTCTGGCTCTGCTGTGAATACACAACCACATTTTTCTCACACTGTCTAGAGAACACTATGTGTTGGGCTTTTTCTGCCACCTTCATACTTTTCCCTGGTTGAAGGGCAGACACTACATAGTAGCTGTAGCACTTGCAAATAAAAACTACCACAGTATATTCGTGCAAGTTTAAAGACTTAAGCAATAATTTACTTTTTTTCTTTTATTTGTCCTTATATCCCACTAAAACCTATGCATTCATAATCTAAACTTCATTTATACTGGTTTAAGCATAGTAATGAAACTAATGAGCGCATGCAGAGCAGCTCCTGAGATTGCCTAGGTGAGTCTCCTGCTTAATTTTCTTTGGCCTAATGGTTCTGTAACCCAATACAGCACCAAACAAAGAAGAATTTTCCCCTTTGCAAGGACAGTGAGATACAGCAGTACCTGAAGAGAGGTACAAAAGCTTTTTATAATTAAAGCGTGATGTTTTGATAAAATCAGGTCATATTCAATGACTGGTAACTACTCAGTGAAGCCATGTTCATTAGTTTTTTGTACTTATTTTTTGCTAGGATTGACTATTCAACTGATTCAACTTACAACTCAGCAATGCTAAAATTACATTTGATAGGAACACATGTAATGAATGCCAATGCTTATAAACATGCTGTTAAATGTTCAATGTTATATTTTCTTAGCTTTCTTGGGGCAGCCACAGACCTATTTCATGCAGTCCAAGTCCATGACTACCCCATAATGTATTCTATAATGGATTCCAACCATTTCTTTTAAGTTGTTATTCAAGTTTCACAAGGAACATAGGGGGGAAAATCACCACTCCCACCATTTCTTTCTGAAATCCATGGGCACAGCAAATTATTCAAAAACAAAACATCTTCACAAACTCCAATATCCTCCCTAAGGGTGGCTTATCCTTTTGTAGAGAACTCAGTTTGGTCTAGATTTGCAATCCATCTTTATCTCATTATTGTAACACAAACTTTGAGGATGAAGATTTGTGTCTTAGTGCAATTTTCCCAGAAGACAGAGATCATCACTTGGTGTAGAGCTGCTTCTGTCCTTTCTCTAAGAAGCATGAGCCTCCCTGCTCATCTCAGTGCCTAAAGAACCTCCTCTGCTGCAACATCAGCATCCTCACCGAAATGGCTGATCTCAGAACCTCTGCTTGGTGGCAGTGCCCAGATGAAACAGCTTCACCAACTGCCACTTCACATACAGGATGGGGAGCAGATTGAAATCTTATTCCTTCAAATGGGAAAGTTTAACTTACCCAGGGCTTATTTTCCTGTTCCCATCATGTTAAATGCTTTTCTTAAGAAAAAAAAAACCTAAGCTTTTGCTATAAAATGGATACTATCCCAAAGCAAAGTAACTGAATAAAGGCAGAAGCTATAGCAAGGCACCTCTTTTCTTCTGCTGAATGCCAGACATTATGGCACTTCCACGTGCTTTCCCTTAAAAGCAAATTTTAGTTTTGTCTGCCTAAGAAGTATGACTTGCCAGAAATGGTTATAATTTGAAAAGTATTCCACATTTAAATCTCCAATATCACGAACAAGAACAGCCCATGATTAAAGTTGCATCAGCACAGGATTTCTGGATGTGTTTACTGCAAGTCACCAGCATGTCTTCCTGGGCCTCCAAGCTCAAAGCAGCCCCAGTTTGGATCTTAAACTCCAGTACGCACACTTCCAAAGATTCAAAGTAACACAAGAACTTCTTGTGTCACATGAAATCGTACCCACAAACAAGAAAGGATACCAACCATTACATGACACAGTCTTCAGTGAATCAAGCAACATCTGTGTGAGACAGCAGCTTGTAAAACTTCTGAAAAAACACGAGTTGCAGATGATTATGAACAAACAACCACAAGGACATGATTTACAAAGATGTGATTTACAGTTTCTAAATAAAAATGTATGAGGGATTACTGCTCCACAGCTGTGAATGGGATGCTTGGGGCAAAGTGTGAGGAAGAAAAACAGCATTCGCTTTTCCAAAATTGATTTTTGTTTTTAGAAGTAAACATTTCAGAACTATTTAGTTACGCAGTCCTTAATAAAACTCTGCAGAACACCTACAGGGAAAACTGATTTCATCACTTCCTCATTTCTACAAATTTCAACAGTGTTGTTCCTACAGCCTAAAGGGTCACAAGACCCTTCTCTACAATTTTTTCTTCTATTAATAGAATTACAGAAAAATTCTAGTAAGATGATTTTCTTTATTCCTTCTCTCCTCAAATAACACCAAGTTCCTATGAACCAAGAATCACAACAAGTAAATGCTAATGATTATCCTCCGTCTACCTGAAAGAAAAGATACTGATTTCATTTAGAGACACAGCCCAGAAGTTACTTCTAATAGCTCTAATACCTTATGGCAGAAATACAGACACCAACACACAGTACTGCAGATAAAATCTAATACAGATTTATTTGAAATGAACTTGATTTTTTTCAGCAAAGCTGTTTCATTTCTAAAAAACTACTCCCAAATCTTACTGGGACAACAAACCGCCCCCCTTTCTCAAAGCTTCTTGCCAATTCCTCCTATGCACATTTACAATACTAAACGTTACTCCCAAGCACTATTTAAAGCAGTTTTGCACTACAAGCATAGCATTTTGTATAACGTGAGGCTAGCAGCCGTCCACAAGCCTCAGGATCACTGCTGAGTAACAACTGTATTCATAGCACAGGAAATAATCCTCTGTATAAGGGTTTATCCAAGTTTGTCCTCCATCTCAGAAAGACAGAGAGAATGCATTTGGGACAGAAAACCCTCCCCAAACGCCATGTGACTACATCATAGACTTGGCGTGAGGTTCTGGTGGAGCTGTGTTTATTTCAGGCTCAGCACTGTGCCAATGCAGGCACACAGCTTCTGACTGACGGGTCTCCAGCACTACTCCCCGTTCAGAGCACGCAGCTGCTCAGAGGACCACGAGGTTCTACTCTGTTCAGTTTAGAGGGAATTACTTATGTCTCTTCCCACAAATTCTCTCTAAAAATTTTGCATTTTCTCCTTAAAATTTAATAACATAGGCTCATCTGGGAAGTGCCAGAACTGACCTGCAGCATTAATGCAGCACACAGACTCAGTAAGCCTGGTGAGGCCAGTACACCCTCAATGCACCACACTTACTGCACACGTCGTGCGGCTTTTTGAGCATATTTCTGAGCACAAAGTCCCAGATAGAAATTAGGGAGCAATGCTTATAGACAAGCTTCATTTGGAATCACAACGAACTTCCAGAAAACTGTTAATATTCAGGATGTCAGAAGGACTGAGAGTTCTGAAATGATCAAAAAAGGCAGAAAGTCCAAAACCAGGAAATATAATTTCTCTTTTATGCTCCACTCTTCCATCAAGACACGAAACATGAGTCAAGGAACACAAGGATAAAGGAAAGCACTTGTAACAATTAAAAGGTTATTACAGCATCAACTTCATCCATCACTTGTGCATTGCACTGAGTCATGTGCATTGAATAAGAATTAGACATTCATTCCCTGGAACAGAACTGGAAAGCCTCTTCTGGCAGAATTCAAGCCTGGATGCACTCCAAAGCATATGGAAAGTAGCAGATCCAGACGCAGTGCAACCATTTGCCAATTTTTTGATAAGAGTACTTCTTACTTAAAACATTTTTACAGTTAGTAAGTATGGAAGCATTCATTTATTTTGCACTACAGAAAACTTCATGCAGTCAAGTATTTCATATAACTATAGTCAAGTAAACTTCTCCAAAACTCCAAACTACTCACACAGTTCGTTCGACATATCAGCAATAGGAGAGAACCAAAAAATTGTACGCATGTTACAAATCTCTGTAAGTTCAGGTTGATTTATGGTTTATAGCAAGCATTTCAGGTTTCTAAGAGCTTGCAGTGCACACTTTGGATTACGATGTCATCTTCACTTACTTGTATCCTAAGCAGTCAAGCTGAGCAAACATCATAGAATGTATCTTTCGAAATAAAGGATAGCAATCAAGAAAGAAAACAGGGTGTTTCCACTTAAAAGGTTAAACAACAAGAAGAGAATTAAAAGCTTGGAGGAAATGATGATGATACGTTAAGGGGGCCTTTGGAACCTGGGCCTTCAAAGTCTTCTACATTACAGGCAGCTACACAACATCCTGAGAGAGTCTGTAAAGGAGGTCCAGAATCTCTAGTGGCCAGAAAGCTCCCAAACATAGCAGTGTTCTTTACAACGTTATTGATGTGTGTATCCTACTGGTTTGACCTCAGCCTCACAGTACAGTTATTAACAACAGTTACCAGAAAGAAATTCAGAACCATGTTTCCTGAATTTGGGACATTCATGTCTTCTCAAGAAACGTTAATCAGCACTGCAGAACAGCGTTAGTCTCCCAACCGTAACAGCCAATAAATAATACTGATATTTTGGGGCATTATTTAGGTGTTTAGAAGTTTGTCAAGGTTTGGAGCTTTTTGCTCTAGTTTTATTTGGTTTTCTACTATTACAAGTCTTGCAGACTAAACAGTGGGAAAATTCTGTGTTTCACAGTCACTGCCCGTTTTGCAATGAAGTTTCAGCACTGTTTTTGTGGATCCCAATCACTAAACTTTGAGCTGAGCCAAGATGTCCTCAGAGTTTGTCCTGCTTTACCTTATGAGGTGAGGCTGTTTGATTGCCCTTAGCTAGAAAGGCTGAGCGATTACCTACGGATAGTGCATACTGCAAGCAAGCTAAAGTGCATGTCAAATAATAACAATAAATAATAATAGAACACTTGGCACGGAACATTGGTTACAAACCAACCAACAGCATCTTGCTCCCACTACCAGAGCAGAAAATCTAGAGGAGGTATAAAGTTCCTCGGCACAGAACTTGATGTTCTCAACTCATTCCACAGCACAATTTTCAAAAAGTACGGAACACCAGCCAACAAAATTTGGAAGTCAGTCAGCAATGCTTTCCATTGTACAACCCTCTTCCCTGGTCTGCCACATTAAATATTGCATAGCAACACCATACAAGTCTTAATCATCTCACTCACAGCTACATCTCAGTGAGTTAAGTCTAGCATTTACTTAGAGAGCAGTGGCCTCTTTGCAGGCAAAAACTCAGTCCGTGAGTAATCAGTACAGCTCAACCATGAATGCATTTGTCACGTACCAACAGCAACACGCAGTCACAAAGTCAATACATTGACAGCATGCTGCCATTCTGCGGACACATCAACTACCAGCACACATTCAACTATGTAAGAGAAAAGAAAGGTCATTTTCATAAAGCTCACATTAGCTCTCTTCCAAACAAATCTGTAAAATATTCCGATACAGCTTTTAGTGTGAGAAAGCATCAACAAAAATACTTTTGCTACATCTCCAACTGACACAAATATTTAACTTTCTGACTTGACTAAGAAATGATCTTGGCAGAAATCATACATTTTGCTAACAATGCCTTTAAATGTTGAGAAGAATAAATAAAAACAGTTACCCAATATCACCATATTATGAACAAAGTAGAACTTATAGCAGGGTCAACAATTAGCAGAGTCCTAGTTTGAAAGCGGGTACAGGCACGGTGAGCTGATTTTCACTTTACGTGTGCCACAGACTTCCTCCTATGGGAACTAAAAAGTGTCTGCTTTGTTAAGGACATCAAGGACAACGTTTCCTGGTCAAAATCAGGTGACACATGATCTACATTTGTGGACAGAAATGCTGCAGGGGCTGAGCTTACACCTGCACCTGAACACTGCTCCTCAGCTTTGACATCTCATTCCAGGCACTTTCAAAAAGAGAACGGCATCAGAAAAGCTCCAGATGAGAAGGAATTAAAGCACTTGGGTTTTTACGATGCATAAGGATGAAGCCCACACTTTTTCAATAAGCCAATTACTAGAAAGCATTTAGTAATATAGCAATAGGTGACAAACGTAAGTAGCACATACATGTAAATATGGCATTTACCCCCTCAACTCAGCTGAACCGCAAATGAGTTAAAGCACAGCGCAACAGACAGAAGGAAACCCAGAGAACACCCCTCAGCGTACCACCAGGCCCTCGCCGACGTCTCGCAGCAGAACTTCCTGCTGCACCACAACCACGGCGCTTTCGGCCAGAGCACCGTTCCGCGCCTACCTGCGCACATCGAGGCAGGAGCGAGGCCGATAACGCGCAGGCGAACGCCGCCAGCGGGCTCCGCCGGGCAGCAGAAGAGCGGTGCGGACTCAGCGCGCTGCGGGCGCGGACAGGGGGGCGCTCCCCGACCCTCCGGAGCCGTGCGGCCGCGCGCCCGAGGGCCGGCTGACGGCTCCCACCTACGGGCAGCGCTCCGCGGCTGCACGGGAGGCCCGCGCGCGGCGCCCCGCTCCCGCCCGACACCTGTTCCACGCCCCCCCGGCCGCGCCGTCGCCACCCCAGATCGACGGCACGGCGCGGCCGGGCCCCGGCGGTAGAGGAGGGGGGGGAAGGGAGAACCGGCGGCCGAGGGACGCGCTGAAGGCGCCCGCCCGTAAGGGGACGCCGCGAGGGAAACCGCCGCCAACGGCTTCACCGGGCCGCCCGCCACCGGCCTACCTGCGCGTGGTGGGGCTTCCTGAGCCAGGTCCCCGCGAAGAGCCGCCTCGCCATGGCAATCACACATCCCCGCGGCGGGCGGCGGGCGGAGGCGGAGCGCTTCCCCGCCCGGCCTGCCTACGGAGCCGCGTCGCCGGCTCGGCTGGGCGCGCTGGCGGCGAAGGGAGGACGAGGAGCGCGTAAGACGCGCAACGCCGAGCCGGCAGCTGTCAGCGTCGGGGACGCGCCGAGCGCCGGCCGCACCACAGGGAGGGGAGGAAAGCGGCCGTCCGGGGGCAGAGGGGCGAGAGCGGGAGGGGCGGGCCTGCTTCTATCCCCGCCCTCTGCCTGTGGGGCGGCGGGTGGGCGCCAAGAGGTGGGCGGGAGGAGAGTGTCGCGCGCTGCCCCGCGGCTCCCCGCGCGTGTCCGCTGGAACGCGGGCAGCTCCTGGGGCCGGACCGCGGAGAATTACGCAGAAGCCCGCGAATCAATAACACGTCCCACTGACCGCGAGCGGGCTCCTGTCTGCTACTCGGCTGGCCGCTAGAACCAGCCGAGAGCCTACTGGTGCCCACAAGTTAAGGAGGGACCCCCGGCCCGCGGCCGTACCGGCGGCAGGGCAGCGCTCCTTCTCAGCCCGGCTCCGCCCTCCCGCCGAGCCCGCTCTGGAGGCAGGTGCGTACCTTCCTGTCCTTGAACTCGCAACAACAATAGCGGGTTTGCTGCTGGAAGAAAAAAAAAAAAAAAGCCATGATTAGGTTTGTCATAGCAACAGCCTCTGACTGTAACGGAGGGCAGGCCGGGCCAAGCTGCTGGGGAAGAGTATGGCACGCTGGCCCAGCGTCCAGCCTCACCGCATGCCTGTGGCAGCAATCCGCAGCAGGGATTCTGGCAGGGATGAGTCTTAAGGAAAGATGCATATCTGGAAACCAAATGCTAGGAGGTCACAAAGTACTGAAAATCTGCAAGATGTAAAGAGACTCTCACTTTAAGATTCAGAAATAGACTATGACTGCTTTTTGAATAATACAATCACTGCCAGGCTCTCACTGAAGAATAAATCAGAAAATTAATTAGTAAGATTTGGCACTCCTGCAAAAGCAATCCTGGCTTTAATAACACTCTCGCAGTGAGTGTTTTCTTCTCTTCCTATTCAGCAGGCCCAGATGGCTGTGCTTTCTGCATCACTTCCCTCTACACTTCAGTAGTTTGCACAAGCTTAGCAAGATTATGGGCATGCAACAGAAAGGTGACACCAGGAAGCTACAGAGCAGACATTTAAATGTTTTGCTGAATAATCTGAAGTGATTTTACTTCATCTAGTGCTCTGTGTCAGTCCTTGGAAGGAGAGGCTGGGAGTAATCATGAAATGTGGTTCTCCCATATGGCAGGCATGGACATAAATGTTTCATTTCTGTTAAGACTGGATCAAAACAGTTCCTGGCATATGTTCATTAGGGGATATATTTTTCACTTAGTGCATGTGATCTTAGTCATGTGTGAGAGCAGCTGCTTTATTCCAGCACTGAAGTGTTTAGTTATTCTTTAAGTACTCTTTGTGTCCAGGCTTTGCTAGATGATAAAAAGTAAGGCAATTTCGGCCCCTTTTTCAGCTTATCCCTTAAACACCAAATACCCAGTTAAGCCTTGGTAAATGCAAAGCCTGTGACATTCTGCATGTGCAAATGCAAAGGGATATTCTAAAGACCAGGGAGTAGATGCAGCAATGCAACAGAGGTAGAGCATAAGTCATACTGATGTATTTACTGAACCATTTTTCCATTCACTCATGCCTTTCCATTCTGTAGTTTACACATCATTTTTGTATGACAATACCACATCTCAAATGCAAAAGCAGTTGAAGTTATGCTGATTTATTGCTACCTGTTAATATTTGCATCCTATCCAGCCATGTAAAGATTGGAGAGACAAATCCACTGATGACTATACACATGCACTCTTTATTACTCAGCATTAAAGGTAAATGTGGCCTTATAATAACTGCATACTATCACTTTCAATTCCATGACAACTTAACACTCACTGCATACTAAGTATGACTCAGGAAAAAACTAAGAGCTGTTACATGTATTGAAGCATCCAGGAATTTTGGACTGATAAGGATAATAGAAAACTAGAGAAAAATCTACATTCTTCAAGGTACTGATTATAATGTGCATCTTTGATTATAATACAGAATTTTGTCCAAGTTCTTTTGAAGGAAGCAGTATCTGCTACTTGAGCGAGTAATACCAGTTTTAACATATTTAAAAGCTAAACATTAATTTATTGCAATGTAACCAGACTTGATTCTAGCATGGGAGACTCCATGGGAAATCCTCAGGGTTCACACATTCTTCTCACCATCATATTAATGCAGGAAGCCTCTGGCTAATGTACATAATCACAAGACTTCTGATGTTAATAACCACTTCTCTTCCTCACAGCAGCTTTACAAGCTTGCACTTCATAACAGCTTAAGCACCAGTAGGAATGGAATGTGTTGGTATTTGCCAGTTACCTTTTTTTTTTAGTTTAATAAATGTATTTACATGGTAGACAATGTGATAATGATTTTAAATAAAACTACTTTCCCTAAAATGAGGTCTATAAAAACGTCAAAGTTCCACTCTTTGCACTGCTTAGCTATCAACATGCATGCTCAGAGATCTGGCCAGAAATTTGTTTTTATTCTGACTCCATCATCAGGTTTGTATTTGTGGAACAAAATGAAGATCTGGGGATAACTTTTATTTTATCCTTCAATATTATTTCCTATTGCACTCAAATTCTTACTAATGTTAGTGTTTCTAGTGAATAAATAGGTGGAGCCATCTCTCACTCAGAAAGCAAACAAAGCCTGTTAAGGATTCCCTTGTGGCTTAACTTGTTATAAACAAATCATTAAACTATTTGAGGAAGCAGCATCTTTTAGCCAGTGAGTTTCATTTCTAAGGCCATACTTACAAATCTAGCCTGCTGCAGCAGCAGCATGCACTTCTCTTGCTGCCTACTTTCATTCTTGGATTGGCACAGCCATTTCTGTTATTGTGTGAAGAACTAGAACAATAATTTGAACTATGAACTAATTGTCCTTCATTTTCTCTCTGGGTTAGGTTAGTGGCAGTCCAACTCCTTTCATCAGTACCTTGAATTTATGCCAAAATTGAAGTGGTTATTTCTAACCACTGAAGCTTTTATCTTAAACATCTGTATCAGAAATACTGTTTTATTACAGATAAGTGATAAGCACATGTGACTCATTACTAGCTCTTCGCTCTTCAATAGATCCTACTGTTATTAAACATTCAGAGATGCTGATTAAGTTTGAATAAAAACCCCCCAGTCCTTGCTTTGGGAGACAGTGTCTACTAGCTTTTCTGTTACGCCGTTTAAAGTTCAGAATGTACTAGAAAACATAAAATGCTTACAGTAAATAAGTTTTAATAACATGTTTACAGTAAATAGGTTACAGACTGAAAATAAAAATCTTTATAAATTTGATTCCTTTATGGATTAGAGGACTGAGGGAACTCCCTCCATTCAGAAGATTTGAAAGAAAGCACTACCTTGTTAATGCTCATTCATAAGCAAATACTGAAACAACAGTTAGCATTTTTCTCATTGTTTGAAAGTCCACAAAAACAACACAGTTCAGATTCAATCAAGCAGTAAAATGAATTTTCTTTCATACACAATCTCAAGTCTGCTTCCTCTATTAATTGCTGTCATTATGATATCCAACATTTTTTCTTAAGATTAATGGGGATTAAGCATAGGTCACTTGAAAGTGTGTGGTCAGTACACTTGCTAGCATTAATCTTATTCTACTTGAGAAATCATTTTATAATTTTTTGGCAAAAATAATCTGTTTGATGTTGGAAAATATTGGTTAGTTGGCCATTTATTTGAATTAACAGTGAAATAGAGCTATAATCTACTGGGAACTTCTAACTACTTAAAGTAAAATACTTCATTTGTTCTGCTTACCTTCTGATTTAAAATCTGAATGTTAGTCTTCAATTCCACAAATTGTTATTTGTGGAATTTCCCATAACAATAAGAAAACAGTCTGACTGTTTTAATTCCATGCTGCCATTTTCCAAACTTCTTACCCTGAACCAGTGCTTCCATTTCCTCTCTATAGTATAGCTCAGCAAGCTAGACAACATCTGAAATTTAGTCCACACACACTCTTACAAAAATCCTACTTGCGGTCTAAATACTAAGTTCTAGTACTGAAATTAGACACTTAAGAACATAAATAACAGGAAGGAGATAACAGCAAAAATTAAGTTCAGAAAGATAATATCTATTCATAACTCCATAGGAAGTTTAGTATTGGAACAAATTATGTAGTGGTAAGTTTAACACAGTATACTTAAGAGCTCTTAAATGCAAGAGAAAAACAGCTGCAGTGTTTAATACATTGATATACCCAGCTGTCCTGCCATCCCCTCTGCCCAAGGACATTTCCACAACAGAACTGCTTAGTTCACAGTCTAGCATATTTGCTTTTAATTGCCTGTGAAAGTTAGTTCACACCAACATACTAGACTGCGATCCTCAGATCCACAGCTCTGCCTTCCCTTCTGCCAGTTACAGTATGGAGAAGAAAAATAGGCAGAAAAGCAACTACAGATAACTGAGCTGCTTTGTGAAACCCTTTCCTTGTCCTCTACAGCTTATACCTCCTTCCATGTGCTTCTCTCTGTTCTGTCACATAACCGGTTGTGTAGCTGAATGGTGAACTGTTTGATGAGCCCAAACTAAAAATAACCCAGAAAAAGGGGAAAAAGTCATCTTCTCCTCCAGTTTGATTCTGCATGCAGCTCAAAGGACTGTGATATTCATAAAGGTAGAGTAGTTTGGCATTTGGATTAAGGAGCTGTACAGTCAACAAATACATAATTAGTAGAGGGGCATAGTTAGGTTGGTATTTTACAGGTCATGTAACTAGAAGGAAAGAGAATCAAAACTAAATGAAAAAAACTAAATGAAAATACTCAGACATCCTAGACTCACAGAAAAACTCCAAAGGGAGCAATCTCCAGAAAGAGCTCCTTCCCCAGTGGCAGTCAGCCCTTAAATGGGGGTTTAGGAGAGGTGCTGCCAGGCTCCACCACTTCCAGTCACACAGGTAAATTGCCTTCACACCTGTGCTCCCACAGCTGACTCAGTGCTTGCCTCAGGTAATCAATCAGTGGTTCAGGCCATGACTCAACTGTTCCCATACAGGAGCAGAACCAGGAACTGCTTAACATGTGACAAGAAAAGCCCTTCAAAGTCTACCCTTAGAAGAATGTCTCCCTAAAATATATATCCCAGCTCAGTGATTTGTCAGGCAGAATGAATGAATCATTGTGTTATGTTGGAATTTGAACTGAACAAATGATTCCTTCAAGCCTTAACTAATATATAAGTCACTCTAGTCTTCAAAAAAACTGAGAACTTAGACCTTAGACCATATGTGGGAATTAATACAATGTACTAGAATTACTTACTTAACAGCCTTCATGTTACAGGCAGAGTTACTTAAAATATAGCACCTCTCTTACTAGTTTTGCTCCATTCAGAATCTTCATATGCGAAATGAAGCAGCTCAGTACTGATTGTTAGACAATTTTGAAAGCACTCTGTAAAAGCACTAATGAATAGCAGAAATACTTAGGAAACTGATGTTTCCTTTTTAAGAATCCTCTAACTGTAAAGATTATAAATTTGTTAGGTCTAGATTTTTTTTAACCCTATATTTACTCAGAGTTGATAAATAATGTCATTTTCATTAGAACTTTCTTTAAAAACTTATCATTATAAGTAGTATTGCCTTCTTTAAGTTCTGAGCAGTTAACTAAGTACTAAGTATTTACATTGAATTTCTATTGTTGGATTTTTTTTTTTTAGTAGATAAAAGTTTTAATCCCCCTTTAAGTTACCAGAACATCCAGGCAGGCACAAAGCACATGCCTTTCGTGATCCCTGGAGTAGGCAGTCTATTGATTGTATATTAATTAATTTCCATAGCCTACTTTCTATGAAGTACTGCTAAATTTTAGATAGAAAGTCTCAGTAGGCATAAAGTATCTACTGTAATATTTAAATTCCTATTGCAGTTAGGAGCAATTTCAACTATAAACACCATCACTTATAAAGCAAAAACTATTTATTCTTAAATTTGTTTAAAGCAGAAACACTGTGTTAAGCAAAATAAGGAATTGCAGTCACGTGTTTTCCTACATTATTAATCACATGGAAGCAAAATAAATTCAGTAGTTTAAGTGATAGAGTGTGATATTTCTCATTCTGAACAACAGATATTTTTGCTCCAGCTATATAGAAATCTAAATGAATGACAACACCAACTACCTGGCATTTCTAAAAGTACTTTTTCCCCAGTCATATGGTAGAAAGCAATTTGGAGGAGTAATATTTTAAAGCTATAAATATATGACCAAGCTTATACTAATATGGTATATAGAATTATTTTTTCATTAAACTAGAGCAATAAGAAGTGGCCATAGATTAACTTCTGCACATTGATTAGCATGCTGTAAAAGTATCTTATCAGAAGAGGCTTATGCCCTATCTTTGCAAGGCATAAGCCTAGCTCCATACAACATAGCAGCTCACACGGACCAGTTCTGGAGCACAGGTTTCCAGAAGCTTTTTAAGTTCACATCAGAAGTTATTTTCCCCAACGCTTAAATGCTATGCAAGTTTCATTTCATGTGACTTTTTGCTTCTCACATAGGTTTAAATCTGAGGAAAATAAAGTTACTTTTTTGTCCGTACAAATAATAAATTATTTTAGTTATTGAATGCTTTTAGTAACTCAGAAAAAAACTATTGAAATATAACCTTTGTGACCATACTGAACATACTGATTGCTGTTATAATTAACAGTGCTGCTGTTGCGCTTGTCTGAAGCTCGTTTCATACTCACACTCAGAACCTTCTCTCCAAACAGAGCATTAAAATGCTAATACCCTCACACCCAAGTAGCAGCCACAGCAGATAAAGCATTTCCTCTTGACTTCACTAGCAGTCAAGCTTTTTCCTGGATCTTCTGTATCAGAGCAGCTACGCAAAATAAAATTTGATTCACAAATCTACATCTGCAACTGTAAGGTAATAAAAAGCAACAACAACAAAGCAAAGTCCTAAGCTACAGCAAATGAGGGCTTACTCAAGTACAACAATCATACCCTCTAAAACAAAAGAAAGAAGCTACTTACCTACAGAACACCTCAGGTACATGTGAATCTCCAACAAAATACACTCACCTCCACTGCCAGCCTTAAATGAGGTCTGGGAAGGAGCGGATCCTGACTCCACCCCTTCCTGTCACTTAGGGGCATTGCATGCAGCTGAGCTTCCCTGGCTTGGCCCTGTCCTCCCACCAGGTGCTCAATCACTGCTTCAGGCTGTGACTTAGCACTTCCGTTGCACCAACCTATAAAAACAAATTGGGCTTATGAGTATACCTGCAAAACAGAAAAAAAAAGCAAAAAAAAAAAAGAAAAAAAATCAAAAGAAAGTAAGTAGTGAGCAAGGTAAGATGAATTACTTTTTATGAGATAAAGGGTCTTTGTGATGCCTTTACATTTCTGATAAGGGTGGTTGGGTCAATGCAGTTATTCTCCATGACAGCATAGTTGCTCTGAAAGCATTTCAGAGGATTAGAATTGCTTACTTCCTATTTTGTCAGTAACATTTTTGTATAGCTTGGGTTAACCTTATGTGAGGTTTGCAGTTTCTAACTTATTTTGTGAGCATCCCTATATGTGCAGACTTACTGTGTGTTGATATTTTGCTGACTACATTTCACATTTCACTCGTGTTTTATTTCATCTTCCTGTTCCTATTCTACAGTCCTGTTCCTATCCTACAGTTGTCTTTGTAAAAGCCTTTCTGCACATTTTTGTTCAAAACTGAACTCATTTAGATAAGTTATAGGCTTTTAGTAATTCTTATGGACAAAGTTGATTTCCAACCACGCTTCTTGTTTCCTAAATGTCAGTAATTAATAGTAACTAATCATTTTTATTTTTAATTTTAAAAAAAAAATGGAGTCTTCTTTTTTTCTTTCATATCTTCTTCCAGCCACTATGTATGATTCAAGGTGGATTCTAAACAGAAGAAAATTACATGATCATTGCTTGTCTAATTTATACTAAACTTGCAGATTCTGACCTAAGTTTACAGGTCTAGCAAGTAAGGATGCCCTTTTTACCACAGGCTATCAACTGGTACTTAAATCATATTGGTAATCTGATACAGCATTAAATCAGGACTAGTATCATAGCATTGTCACAGGCATCTTAAATCACAGAATCTGCAGTAAATTAAGAAGTCCTTTCAGGCCATTGCTACCTGACTGTCAGCTTGTTTGCTGAACTCAACAGAAGAAAGAATCAGTTCTGCTATCAGTAGTCACCTAACATGTGAATACAATTTCTTACCAATTCTTGCCTGAATTTCCTACTGTTCTTGGCAAGTATGACTCTAGAATTGTTCTTAACTGAGAAATTTGAGATAATTTGGTAAAGGTTCTGGGAGAGGCAAACTTTCAGCAGTCTGTTGTAACATGAACAAAAATTAAACTCTCACAAAATGAATTCTGAATTAGATAATCCTCACCCATACTTACTGTGCTTTACCTTTGTGCGCTGTCTTCATACAATTAATTTGCATCAGCTTTTAAGGAGTATTTGTTTGCAGGCAGGCCTTTTGAATATGACTCTTCTCATCCTAAAGTTGTCCTTGCATCTTTTTATGCCGGGCCTGGATAATCCCTTTGCTATCCTCATGGGCAGGAGGTTGGACTTGGATTTGTTGCAACAGAGAGCCATCAGCACCCTGCTGCAGGCACCAGTCCTGCCTGCATTGGGAAGGTCCATGGTCTTCAATTCAACGCTGAGGGTTCTTGGTGTTAATGAATTCCCAGGGTCGTCTTATTTACTTGGCAGTCCTGCTTGGCAAACTTCTGCTTTCCTGACTCAGGAAGCAGGCTGCCTGTCCCATAGTGAGAAATATTGCAGTTCTCACCTCAAAAGCTGCCTGTGACCATGGAACATACATTTAGTTACCTGAAGGAGAGATGGCAATCCACAGAAGAAAGCTGGAAGTCAATTTGTACTTCTTTCTTGGCTTGTTCTTGTTGAATGCTCCACTCTGTAACTGGAACGGAAGAAGAAGAAATAAGCCTTTCCTCTTTTCATTTCCATTTTCTAAAATTAATATTTTCGTAACCTTTTGTGTTGCCTTGGTTATGTCCTCTCACCTCTGTTTATACATATTGACAGCTCCATAATAAAGGTAGCACCCCTCAATCCATTTTAAAACAGCAAAGTTACTGCAAGATGATATGGCTGAAAACAAGTACATTTTTATGCATACGTATGTGTTCTAGATACGTAAGTGCATAAAAGTAGTATTTCTTATCTGGAGCACTTATTTGATCCAGCCAGTGGTGTGGCTGCAAGTGCATGGCACTGGCAGCAGAGCTGACAAGGCAGCTCCTCCTCAGCAGGAGAGAGTGCAACCTTAGATGGCAGCAGCTGTGGGATGCGTTTGGCTGGGACATGAAACTGTACCCTCAGCTCCCACTGCAAAGAAAAGCCAGACTCCTCCTTTGGCCCAGCACTTCCCCAGGGAGTAAGCTTAGTGTATAACAGGCAGGAAAATCACCAGGGTTGGGGGGCTGATTTATACTGCCTATGAAGATTTTCTGTAGCACCAGAGGAGCCCTGCCAGGCGCTATCTGGTTTATGGTATGTTTTTGTAGCCCCTTGTACACAAACATGCTGTTGCTTTGATCTTGTATTAATCTTCAGTTAATTTTTTTAAACTCATCTCAAGATCACCTAGCACTAAAATTACAGCAATATTAAGGGGGGGGGGGGAGGAAACAAACAAACAAACAAAAATGTCCTGTCTTGGCAGCCCCAGATGGAGCCAGGACTATATAAATAGGGATCCCAATGCCTGTGTGAAGGTTGTTGAAAAATAAAAAAGGTGTGTCAGATGTAATGAGAATTAATTTTGACCTTATATTTGATTCTGGTCTTTCTAGCTGAATAGAAATAAGCAGTACTGATTTAGAACATAATCAGGGCTTTCAGGCTGAGATAGCATGGCATGAACGAGGAAAGACTGAAGTGTAAGCAAGAAAATGCATTACGTTTACACTAGCCAAGACAGTGATACTTAGGGTGCACATTTTACTTAAACATATCAAAGTTAACAAATATAACAGTGCCACTATTCTATAAGCAGTGGAGAAATGATGTATGGAATTCATGACTGGACCAATGTGTCAGCCTGGGAACACCAGCTTCTGTCCCACTCAGCCCTCTTGCACCGGCAGCAGCAACAGAAAGGGTTACTGCTCTATCTTCAGCTCCTGCAGCTGAGTTTACAGGAGTGCGAGCAGCTCTGAGTGTTACAAGGATTCTGTCATTCTGTGACGTTCAAAAGCATTTTGTCTTCATCAGACACAGAGCTGCTATTAAAAAAAAAAAAGTGAGGGACTTTCCATCTGAGTGGGGCTTGGCAGGTCTGCTGAAAGATTGTGAGAAGGCCCATACTGCATTCCAGGTGGTGGGAGCGCAGAAGGAATGCTGTACTAATTCTCCCTCCGGCCAGACTGATGTCCAGAACAGATTTTTCATTGCATGCGTAGCAGCAATATTCTGCCATGTAACTTTGTCCTGAGGGGATGTTAAACTTTTTTTTTTCAGTTTAGAGTTGAGAGGTAGGTCTGGCTGTACTGCTACGAAATTTAACCACGCAACAACTGGGAATTCTGCTCTCGCAGACGTTCTTACAGTGTATGCAGAAGCAGACAAAACCCTGCCATTAAACTGTCTGATGCCACAGTTCTCGAGAAGTTATATTATAATCACTGTGAAATAAAATATTTGAGACTAATTAGTTTTGCAACTATGCAGAACAGAGCTGAAGAGAATATTAAGGGTCTTGCTTACGCTTACACTCTGAAATGCTGACTGTGGATTTTTTTTTTTTTACTCAAGTCACTAAAGCTTCAGTAGCTGCTTCCAGAGCTGTGCTTAGAGAGCAAGCAGAGGAATGGAATGCATCACACCGTTGTATGACTGAATTCTCAGAGACTTTGGGAACCGGAACCTCTTTCAGATCCAGGCAATTTACCAGAATTTCTAGTCTTGGCAGCTGTTGCTTTTCTGAAAGAAGCTGATTATATGACTACAGCAACAAAGCGACACTGCAGAGAGAATTAAACCTCTCTTAAATTCCAGCTCTGAGTAATAAGCCCATTTTTATGCACTGGCCTCAGGAAGAAATATTACTTGGGACTACTCTTGCATCTCTCCACAGAATTCCCACTAGCTAGTACAGTAGGAAGACACAGTTCTCACAGCTTTTTTCAGGAGTTAAGACAATGCTACATATGCTCATAAGTCTTGAGTACAGAAAAGGCACTATTACCAATAACAACACAGTGACTTGCTGTATGGGAACTGCTGAGTCACGGCCTGAACCTCTGATTAATCACCTGAGGTGAGCCATGAGTCAGCCAGAGGAGCACAGGTGAAGGCAATTCACCTGTGCTGCCAGAAGGGGTGGAGCCTGGCTGCACCCCTCCTGGACCTATTTAAGAGCTGGCTACCGGAGGGGAAGGATCTCTTCTGGAGGATCCCCTCTCTTGGTGTCTTCTGGTGAGCTCAGCCGAAGGGTAAGCTCTTCCACTTATTCTCTTTTTGTTATCGTTGTCTGCTTTGCTTTACTCTCTTGATTATATTGCGATTATAACATCTTGATATCTATTGATTATACACAATTATATTGTGATTATAACATCTTGGTTATACACTTGCCCTTAAGCATCCTCAGTGCAGATGCACGCATACAGGTACTTTTTTTTCCTTTCACTCACTGTCTTCAGGATAAAGAGTTATAGTTTATCCAAGGTTGATGTCAGAGGCATGCTCACATGCACCTCACAATGAAAGCCTCTCTTCAGCTGGCACGGTCAAATATGCTGTAAATAACACAGGAATGTTATATGTCAACCCCCCTACTTCAGCTCTGAAACATCTCTACCTACTAAAAGCTTTGTGTCTTCTACTGTGTGTGTATGTATACTGAGGGACTTCTTGTTCAGCCACTTCCAACAGGGAGGTTTCAGTAGTGGTAGGCTATGAACTGCAAATTAGGAACAGTTAGGTTCTTATATTACAATTATGGGAACATTTAACAATGTCTAGGTGCTTTGAATCGT